CTAATATTATAAACCACTTCTGGGAAGTTGGTATCAAAGAAGCAATACTTGGGAAGATACGTTTCCAAATCTACTCACTACTCTTGTTGCAATTACACAAAACTCTTTGAAACCATGATATTCGGCACAACACATTTCTCAAGTCTGAGTAATTTCTGCACACTGAGCTATGTACTTACGTGAACTCTTATTATTCGCAAATATCTTATACCTTCCTGGAAAAAAAATCAGGTAGGAGAAATATCTTCAAAAAAAAAAATTCAAAATTGCTCATGCGCACACAACAATTTGGTATTGTGCACTGGACTAGATAAGATTGACGGCGACTCAATTTTCTATCAAATATGGCCCATGAATAAAAAAACTGACATCCGCTGTAGTATGACCACTTCTAAATCACCCTTAACGAATACGATGAATCGACAAGCTGCGGTTTTTTTATCCTAAGAGCTAAACTGTAACTAGAATGATGTAATCTACCGCTGCTTAATTTTTTTTCTCTGATCTCAGACTATCTTCTTTACGGACACGATATGGGTAATGATATTTGTACTTCACAGTCAGTCACTGACCCACTATTACTTAGTTTTCTGACGTATTCCATGTGAGCTGTCTGCTACCATATCTCCACTTTCATGTGGAAGTAGGCCCAATTTTTCAAAAGCTCATTGGGCTCGTACATGCAAAGATTTAAGATATGACTAATTCCCTTGTGTGCTTACGATGTGATTCGTTTGTATTTGGAGACAACACGCGCTATTCGAAGCTTTGGAATGTACGAAGAGAGATCCTAATCATTTATGGTTATACAAACCCACATAATGAACCAAGTCTTCCCAAAAATTTGCACGATCCGCATGTGAATATCTAGCTTTGAAGAACTAAAAGCTTAAAATATTCAAAAAATCTGTGGTAAGCGGATTATGGTAAGAACAAATTCTTTGGGTCTTGTGACTTTAACAAAAAAATATTTTTTTCACAATGCACGCTATCCCTAAAGACATTTTCTTTTCCAATTTGGACCAAAATAGCTGATGTGACTAATGTTAGAATACTGTAAATCAACAACTCACCTTCAAGTTGAGCCAATCTGATAGAGTGAGGATGAGATGGACAGACTCCGCTTGAGAGCTTTACTCTATCCAGAGCTATCCATGGCTTGTTTGTCTTCCATGTTACTTCAAAGAATATCTGGAAAAGCCGGCTGAAGATAATTTATCCCCAAAAAATTGGCTTGATTCCCAAGTAAGATTCAGTGAAAGTAAGTAAAGCTCGAAATTTTGACGAACACAAAATTTACGGCGTTATCCTAAATTGATGAAATTTTATTCAATTTTGAAAGTACTCAGAATCAACACGACGTTGAAGGGTGAGACTTAATCTTCGGACAAAAGAATTTCGGTGTACGGTAATCGCCAGACCAAACTTTTTTGCTGAGTGTGTAAGTCAACAACAACAGTCATAATTACCCACCTTGAAAGGGTGTTTATGCGCCTTTAATGGAATCGTGATCTCTTTCCATTTCTGCACAGGCAACTTCATCAAAGAAATTTTCAACAATTGTAACTTCGCTGTTTTCTTCTCGTCTCTCATCTCGATATACAAATGACCTGGAAATAACCATGACACTTCGACGCAATAATTCTGTAATTCGAATTTTTTCCATGCGAGCGGAACCGTTCAAATGACGCCGCCGTGACAATAAAACCATTCTGTGATGTCATCCTACTGACCGCTATAGTATTATTACGCACAGGTGCGACTATCATCGAGATGAGATGTCACCGTGTGACATACGTATGAGAATACGATAATACTTAGGAGATTATTGATTTTTGAGTGGATTTATTCGAGCTCCCTTCAAATACGGGGGAGGGGTTCCAAAAAATTCAGAGAGATCTTCAACGATATCTCTACAACTCGGCTTTCACCGACTTTTGTAGCATGTTGTAGGTCCGCTCTATCAGTACAACGAATCCCTTCACTTCCTAATGTAAAACTGCGGTGTTAATCGTAAGAGGGTCTTGAGCCTTTGACAGTCTAAAATATTTATCACGGTCTTAATCAGCTTGCTAATTCACTGTAATCTTTTTCAAAAGCTATGACATATATTATTACAGGTGTTTATCCGAACAACTATCAAGAATCTAATTATGCCATCTAAACTGTTCCACTGCAGGCACGAGTATAGGCTAGAATTTCAGCTCCAAAATCCCACTGCAAAAATTGTCAGACGTTTTGGAGAAGTACTGCAATGGCAGCTTTTGCATTGATGACATTGTGCTACAAGTTTCTACCGTGAGCCTGAAGTTGAGAACTGAATATTCATTACAATTTTTGAAGCATTTTGTGTATCTAACAAATGCTACAATAGACTGCGACGATGCTTGGCAAATCATGAAAATCGTCACAAATTTTCGTCATTACCAACTTTTCATTCTGCTCGTCGCTATAACATTTTTTTAGATGCCAGCAGCAGAGGTTCAGACTTTGGTCAAGTTTATTAGCTTTTCTGTGAATGCGAGAAACCAAAAATCAAACTCCGTGAAAAATCTCAGAATTGAAATGGCTGTAGTACAAAAATTTTGCTTGTTTCTAAAAACGCTAAAGTTTGTGCTTGCAAAAATTGTGGCTCAAAAGGAAAAATACTCTTGAAAACATATCATCTTGCTTAGCATCAACTTACTGGGTTGAGCAATCTCTCTGGAGAAAGTTATAAAGTAGTAAAAGTCATGCAACGGTCAAAAAGTTTTCATTAGACTGATATAGACTACAAAAGTGGTTTTTTAGATTGAAATCTACATAGCTGATGATGGCAATTGTTGACTTTTTAGCATTTTTGCGACGCAATTTGAAAACTTTGCAATATCGATCCTCATTGGCATGCATCGCCATGATATACCAAAGTGGAATGTGTCTCAAGTCCTAAATTTCCTTTCCGTGAGAAAATCAAATCGAAGAATTCGTTGGAGCTGGTTGATGCTACTATATTTAGATTTTTTTTCTCAGCGTTTTATCTTTACTAAATCTCTTTGCAAAAAACAGAATATTCGAAATTTCCGCTGTATAGCGAAGCCTACACGTACCCAAATGTACAGAATCCAAAGTCTTCCTCTAATTTAACTTATCAGTTATGGCAACCCACTCCTCCCTCATTCAACACAGCAATTCCGGGTTATGTCTATCCAAACCAAAGTTTGTTCTACGATGATTGATTACATCATGACAACTAGCAGTCGAAAACAAATACTTCAAGCATGCAAGCCATACCAAACAAGAGTTTGAGAGCAGGCCCTGAAGTGCTATATGAGTGCACTTTAAATTCATTTATATCCGAAAATATTTGGAAAAAAAGTGCAATTTTGATTTCTGCAATTAAGTTCTTTCACCTCTCTCTCCAGTTTTCATGATGCATGATTTGAAAGACAACAGCGCACCATAAACATCTTTTGTGCTGTTTGCCCAACAAAAAAGTTACATTTTTATCGGCTAGCACAATTTTTTCGATTTTTCTGATATTCTTAAGTCTCGCTAAGGGCCTCAAATAGGCTGCAGTATTGGACTGACTATTACACTGCTTTTGACTTATTGTTATATAATTTCACCAATTTCACCAATTTTCAATTTGTAATGCTTCAGTTTTCGTGATAACTGCAAACTACAAACTATGTGATTGTGAACAGGGCTCGGCACAAGGTGGCACCAGGGAAATTTCAAAACGAAGTCCCCTTTGATCTTGAAAATTTTGTAAAAGTCCCCTTTAATAATAAACCCTAAACGTAAAAATCCTCAAAAAACGAAACGTCGCACTTTTTGTGTCTTTTAAGCCTCAAAAAAAAATTGTTCTCTGCTTTATGTCTCAAAGACGATATCCAGCTTGGCCCGGTGCCAGCTGTGCCGGGTCCTGACTGTGAATCAAAAAGCGTAGGCAATCATAGTTAGTGATTAGAATAATTGTTCTCAAAAGTGAAAAACAAGGTCGTCCATATTTTAAACATTTCGTGAGACTTTTGACGAAGTACAAGTTGTGATAATAGTTTTGAGTAACTTGCTAGTTCAGTGGTTCTTTAACCATTTGAAGCCAGTTGAGCTCGTCATAACTCTTCATTAGCCCAAGATTCCGGCCACGTTTTCCATGAAATCTCTTTTCCCCTTCTTTTAGGCTAGAAAAATGCATGAAGAAGTAGTGGGTTTGATCATTTGAGACAAATTATGTGACGCAATCTAGGTTCGGCCAAAACCGATTAAAAGTTATGTTATGATTTCGTTGAAGTTTAGCTATGTTGTTTTACCGTGCAATGACATCGAAGCATGAAGCATCATATATTATTTTCACGCCATTTTCAGATCCAATTATTTTGCAAAGCTATATTAAGCTATTGTTTCAATAACAGAACTGCATTCGTTAGAGAAAGTGTACATGAAAAATTCTGCCCTAATAAAAGTTACTTACTCTTTCCTGATCTCATTACATTTTTAAGAAAATCCCGCTGGTAAATTTGATTAGGTATCTTCAGAAAAGCTGTACACATGTTTAAGCTAAGGTTTCAATTCGTAGGTTGGTAGATTTCCTATCATTCTTCTAAACAAAAAATTTCGTATGCTTAGAAAAAAATGCAGAATGCAGAATTTTATTCTGTTTTCAAAGAGTGCAAAAGGACGAATCTGATTTATCTCCTAAACATACGAATTTTCTTTTTTGCTTGTCACCATGCACTTTCACCGATAGTCTCCACTGATTGAAAAACGACTTGCTCCATTACCGTGCCATCTAAACTCCAGAATATGATTTTCGCGCAGAATTCTTATTCTGGTCATCAACGATACCGGCTGCGCAGATTTGGTAATGACATTTTCGTGAGCGGTAAAAAAACCTGCACGGTGGTCATTAGCCGTAGGGCAGTGATTGTCCTCGGCTTGCACTTTTGAAATTTGCAAATCATTTGTAACTTTAGAAAAAGAGATTTTGGTTAGATTTATCGCGAAGCTTGGAGATAAAGCTAAACGAAAGCTGTGGGCCGTTTGTTGGGTATGGCTATTATGGGACAGCATAATGGCATTTTTTGACCTTATATAAAGCTAGTTTTCGGGTATAGCAACCATTTTGGTAAAATCTTACCATCATTTGCAGGTTTGAGGTAGTAGTGGAACTGTAGACATAGCGCAGCGCTGTTCTTCATGTTGAACATTGGAGAGTAGAGCGATGAGAAATGATACTTTTCCGAATCTGCGTCCAATGTGATGTACTGATTTCCTGAAAAAGAATGACTCATAATGATCAGGAAATAATCGCTGCATTTTCTTTTATGGTATCAGAAAATCCGATTATGTTTACGCTTGAGGGACCAGCTATATTCTGGCGGTAAGAGGAAACCGAATAACAACAGTTCAAGATCGATGTGCCGACATACATTGCTCCTTTTTGTAAAGCATGGTTATCCGTTCACAAAAAAGGGATAGGGTTTTATGTCATCGAGCGTCATTATTTTGAATTCTGGAGTTCCTAATTGGCACACTCTTTTCATATACTTGCGGATGTCCATAAAATCAGTCGTCAGCTGGACTCTTCAAAAACACAAAGCTGATCGTGTACAGATTTTCTTCTGTTATTTTGTGAGTACTTGTCTATGGAAAATTTCAGGAATTGCTGATAAGATCATGTAAAGGACGTAGGTATGTAAATTAACTAGATTTTGTTGAGTTTTAGAGAGTACAGGAAAGAACATTGGACCGCAAGAATTTTGGGGCACCCTGGATGGAATGCGCTTTCTCACTTTTGTTATCAAGATATCACGATTTTTCCGGAGTTACGTTGTAATGCTTAACGATACCAAACTTCTGTTCTAAGAATACTTTTTTCTAGCTTACTTTTTTCCAAACAAAACTTTTGCTTTATAGTTTAAAACTCATTGAGGATCATAGAGATTTTTTTGATTGGGCGGGGAAGAGGTCGCAAAGATATTTTTTCCAATAAACAAATGTTTTCATGAGATACTTCATGGCACTGTTAACGCAAAATTTTTCAAGGAGCTTTTCAAAAGGAATCGTTAGAGCAAGATCCACTATTTTATTATTACTGGGTTTTTCCGCCACTTAGTAAAATATGCTTTTGATACACTTCGGAATGGCGTTTCCGTGAGCAGCAAATTTTACGCAATCAATATGCATCAATGGAATGAATTCAATCAATTTTGTTCTCGTCCAACATGTTGAATAAAAGTGACAAAAGCGTTAAAATGATTCTTGGCAATACAGGGTCCCGAAAAGATGTGCACACTGCTCGATCGTCAATGACTCTCTTGCTTTCATGTCTCCGGCCGAGTACGAGGTGCCATTCTGTAGAGCGAGGTTTAGTTTAGATTTGCAACATGGAAAAAATCTTTGAACTCTCTAGGGCCCGTAGAAAAATAGCTATCCCCTCCCATCCCCGCTGGGGATGGGAGGGGATAGGTATTTTTCTTCTTCTATCTCAATCTTGCAAGGAGTTTTTCATACACTTATACCTGCGCATAATGGATGCCAGGTTACATCGGTTTTTGCCATTTGTGATCTCCAGATCCCGAGGGGATCCCTATGGGATCACCCCTCATTTTCAAAATGATTTATCTTTCCTGAGAAGGCAATGAAAACGCTGCAAAATTATACTGAGGACATGCTACGGCACTGCTAAGCATGTTTTCTATAGGAGAAATGGAATCTGAAGATTGTGAATTATTTGATGATTTTGGCTCGCGAGTTAGGGAATACCGAAGATTTCGATATCCTGAGATTTCACTTATTTTTATTATAAACATCTTTAGCAATGCCGTATGTAGTATATCCACAGTAAAATACAATATGAGCGTGCATATGGGCCTTAGTTACTGTGGGGATTACACTAGGAACTTCGCGAAGAATTTTAGGCCATTGAAAGTGTTATTTTGCCTCGCCAGAAATTCTTGTACTGGGCTGGTCAAAGTCGATGATTTTGAATTTGGAGTTTGTACTTTACGTTTAATGCTTCTTTCGTGAGTTATTTCAGGTTTACGGTAGCAACTGTTTTTCCAATGTTCGTAGAAATGTGTTTACACCACTAAAAAAGCTCGAAATACTGGTAAAAAGTTATACAGTGAAATCGGCACGCCTGAAACCCTTGCTACACAAGTTTCCAGATTTTTTTTGGAATTTTTTCCTAAAAGTCTATTCCACACAGGAGCTGTATGCTGAAAGTTCATACCGTAAACCTACAGTGATGAAAAGTGATTGATGATTCGCTCCATACAGTAAATCTATGTTGAACCCCGCTCTACAGAATGGTACCTCAAACTCGGTAAAATACGTGAAAGCAAGATCCTATTTACTCCACACGTCTTCAATTTGGTACACTTTGTGATGCCAAAATTGATAGTTTAGAGGATCTATGGGAACGGGAACTATAGAGTACTTCTCTTTATATTTGATAGAATCTAAAAGTTTACCATGCTCCGCTGGTGGGGTCCCGCCAGCTCTGACCCAGTCTATTCCATCTCCATTACGCATTCCACATAGATCCTTCTCAAAATCGCATTCCCAGTCGTATCTCGAGATTTCTTGGTTTGGATCTGAAAGATCAGCATTGCAATCCTTGGAACAGATATGAAAGCTGTAAAAGCTGTTAAGAAGACTACTCTACAAGTGAAGCAACCAAGTACCTTCTACTTCAGTAGTACTACCTGGTGGAGTAAGTACTATGTCTCTGATGCTCCATGGACTCTCCCTTCCATCTTCTCCTACCACCTTCACTGCAATCTCATACTCCTTGTTAGGCAAAAGACCGGTGAGTTTGACACTTCGAGAGTTTGAACGCATCTTTGACAGCTGCTCGGATTGGTAGAGGCCATACCTTGAAATTTGATGACCTTCTCTAATATTCATTTTGTGTGGAACTTACTGTATGAGGTAATGTCTCTGAGTTCCATCAATCTCATTTTCAATGTCCAGCTCAGGGTTCGGGTCTTCCCACGTAACCACAACTTCCCCTGGCTTCGGAGAATTTGCACGAACGGCTATCGGTGGCCAGAGGGAAAATGCTTGCGTTCCTGAGCAAGTGTGTCTGACTGGATAGAGGGGGGTAAAAGAGGGACAACCTTACCGTCACTGGGGAGAGTTCGAGCCGAGAGCAGAACTGGTTCACCATCTTCACCATCTGCTTCATTGTAAGCGCCAACGGCGAAAACGTAGTCTGTATCGGGTTCTGCAAAAAAAATTTATCTCGAGCTCTACCGTAGTCAGTCGTAACTAAAACCCTGCAAGTTCTTATAAGCCCTACATGCTTCAGAATAGAAGCATTGCCCGGGTTCATCTTGGTAAACCTAGCTACCCGGAGACAATCTTTTGACAGTTGTGGAGTACAAATTGGAAGGATAGACCTTAATTGAGCCTCTGCCAAAGCGGCAGTATATATAAACTATTTGTAATGGAGAAAATCAACTTTGAAGTCTCGCCCAGACCGTACCCTTTACTGTACACGGGGATGATGACAGATCCGCACGTAAAGAGTTTGGTTGCGGCCAAGTGCTTGGATTTTTTTTTGTTTGCGAGACATAAGCGATAATATTTTTCTAAGCCTAGCCTCAGAACCTCTTTTGAGCAACTTTCTTTCTTCCAGCTGCTCTGCTTTCGTCCTTTCTTACCCAGCTATTTTTGTGCTTTCTTGCACTACCCCGCTTAAACTTCCGAAGGTAATGCCACATGACATTTGCTGCAACGGTTTTTCCTTTGTATGCCACGTTGATTTGAATGAATGGCGATCAGAGCACATTGAGTCGGGCACGTTTCCAGCAAATCCACAAATTCATTGCAAGACCTCACCGAGTCGATTCAGAGTGAACGAATTTGTGTTGGCCCCTTCGATGACGATACGTCGGGAGGGAGAAGCGACACCGTAAGAGATAGTGTAACCACGGACCTAAACGAAAATTTGGATTGTAAGATTATTTGAGCCTTTATCCGAAAGTTTGCGCTTTTCTAAAACTTTCAACATTGGAAAAACATAAGGAACTATTCGACTAACTCTTTATTTGTAAAAGAAGATTAAATTTACGATGTTTTACTTGTAAAAAACAACTTCGTTGCGCTGCGTTTGCACAAGGAACTTTATTTGTATAAAACAAAAAGGAGCACTTTAAACTGCGTGCATATCGCATGCTAGAGTACTTGATATAAATATTTCACTAAGCCTCAAACTCTCAAGTCAATTTCTTCAGAAAATTTTTCAATAGAAAAAATACTATAAATGTTACCAGAACGCTCTTGTCTGAAGGTGCATCCCACCAAAGAGTCGCTGTCGTAGCAGTTGTCCGCACCCTCACATTTTCGGGCCGATCAGGAACTCGAAGTTCTGTAAAAGTAACAATTAAATAACATGTAAAATACACTCCATATTTTCTCTCCTTTATCACTTTTCTTTTCTCCATAGAGTTTCAGAGAAGTATGAGAGCAGCTTAGGCGTTTTCTTACCTCATTTCTGCAGATTCTTCTCGGTCGATCCATGGTCAATTTATTTATTTATTTATTTATTTATTTATTTACCAACTTATTTTTAGGAGGAGTAAAAACCAAAATCTTTTCACAAATCCTCGAGAAAAAAAAGGCCAGATCTTGATGATTTACCTTATTTGACTCCCCTTAGTTTTAGGACTCGCAAGATGTGTTTGAGAAGAACTCCAATGTAGAGCGAGTAAAGAAATTTATTTAAACAAATCCATTAATTTGATTCTAGACAACTTGAAATCACAGAGGTATTAACTTCAGAGCTACTTTCTCGGACGCTGCTAAAGAAATCAACCAGAAGGTATTATCTCCTATTTTTTTTGTTGCAACAAAGTCTCTAAGTTGGAGTGAAAAATGCTTGAAAATTTCTATTTTTTCCCTATGGACCCCGTGGACCCACTTTTTGGATGAATAGCGTCTAAACGATGTACTCAAGAGTAAGTGGCATCACACACAACGACAATGGCCCACAGGATAGCGCTGATAAATGGCTGCCCTAAGGCCCCTAAATGTTCTTCGCAAATTCACCCGATTCATGTTTTCCCTCGATTGTGCGTTCTCAGCTGGCATTGGAAAATTTCAAGCGACTCAAAGAAAATTTCTCTACCACCTGTCTCTAGAGCTACCCGTAGCTAGCGCTCTGGCTTAAGTGGCGCTTATTATTAAGAGCAACGCCTCGCAATATATGACCTAATAAGGATCCATCCAAAGCATATATTCTCTGTACGACAGGTATAATTTGCGCATTTGTCAACCAACAAGAGCTACCTGCGCCCCGAGAGAGTAGTCGCTAGCCTGAGCAGCTGGCTGCTCGGGCAACCGCTGCTACTGCTGCAAGGCTGGAAATTATGGAATTTAGCGCAAAATTTGCATCGCAACTAAGGTGCTAGGCCCGATTTGCATAGCCTAGCGCGACTCCTGGAAGTGCTGGCCCCTTTGGCAACAAAGCTCGTCCCGGCTCTCGTTCCGGCGTTCACGCGCTTGTCAACAAGCGCGGCGCAGGAAGTGCACAGCCGGCCTGGTCCCAGAGTCACACAGAAACAATTGCTAATGGTTCTAATTTGGCAATGTGTCCGCGCGAGAGGTGTGAGCGGTAGGTGTCGGTTCCAATCAAGTGGAAAGGATTGGAGCATGTTTACATGGGCAAGAGGAAATTCGAAAGATGGAGAAAGAAAAGCAAATGGGTGTGAACTTTGAATGAAATGAATTTAGCTTGACAAAGTTCGCGTTGCTTGGAAAATAAACTGATTTGGGAGAAGACAAAAAATAGTTGGCAAGCGAGGATAGCAAATCTCTATTTTTCAGACAGCATCGATTCAAAAAATAGTCTATACATACTGTTCCAACCAATATCAAAGTAGTACTAATGGAATATGTGCTGTCAAAATATAAGGAGTTGAGTTTAAATAAAATAAAATTAGAGCGATTTTTTCAAAATCAAATACTACATGTGACTATAAGTGAAAAAGAAACCCTTTCCTTCATCCGCTAGATATGAAATTGACTTGTCTATAATTACCTGCAGATAAAGTCAAAGCATAAACTTTACCAAATAAGCGTAACAGAACCTGACAAAATGGATTCTCCCTTCATTTCGGTGATTGTGTAGAGCTTTCTAACTTTGATTTTGTTACTTCAAATCCTTTTCAGGACTGTTACACCATTAAGTAAATGATTTTATATATATATATATATATGTTCAGCAATCGAAGTAACGTGAGTGCTATGACAATATGAAATATGAAATATGAAAAATATGAAAAAAAGGTAGCGGGAAATTTCTTGAAATTTCTAAATTTGAAGGCATAGGATTTGATATTTAATATCAAAAAAATTGAAAAGAGCTTGTAAGGAACTTTGTGATGATCAAATCGGAAAAACTCGGATAAGGTTAATAGTAGTTGATCAAGCTGCTAGAAATAGCGATAATACTTGTACCTCCTAGAAAACTTTTATAAAGCCAATGTATTTATTTGGTCCTAAAGTCTTTCACTAGAAATTGGTCCAAATTTTTTTTGAACAAAAAAAAGCTTGAAGCTCTTAGATCTTTTGTTCTGTTGTCACTGATCTATATCAATCAAACGAACTCCTTGAATTCAAAATTTTGTGCAAGTTCTAGAACCAAGTAGTTCTCTAATTTGCATAATGATTTTTTTTTCGAGGTTAATAAGAAAAAATTGAGAAGGAAGGCAAAAGGATTAGAGAGCTCATGCCAATATCCCCCTTAAGATCTAGGTTTCGCGTATATAAAATATTTAATTTGAAGCAAAATGAAGTAAACCTCGAGATAAAGCTATCAAACTTCGTGTCGTGAAGCAATCAAATTGTGACATTATGCCAGAAGAAAAATAAACTGTACGTGATACTACTTCCGAAACACAACATATCAGTAACTGCTTAGGTGTTAATTACGCTTTTTCTACAATTTCCAAGAGATAAGAGGAAATCATTACTTCTGTTCGTTATTGCTTTGAGAGTGCATTTCATAGAAAAGGGAAAAAAAACAATGAGTTGTAGTGTCTAGTACTCCAGCACTCATGAATTCTCATCTGCTTACGTATGAATTCTTTGTCACAATTGAATGGGGCTGTGCGTAAGGCGTTAGGAGGGGAGTCATATCGTCTCTCAGAGCGATACAGAAGAGAAAAAAACCGCTTTGGAATTCTATTCAATACGTTGCAATCGGGCTGAGACAGAAGCAGAAGTCGAAGTCGAATAAGTGCTTTCATAGTAATGTTCTGACTTACCGTTTGGGACGACGTCGAATATGGTGTTAGCAGTTGGGAATATAAAGTTGAGAATTAGGAGAACAACGAAAAAACGCATATTCTTCGATGTCAGACCATTTCTTCACTATAGCAGTTGGCAGTTTGGATGTGTATAGAATAGAGTACTAGGCAACGTACGTCCCAAAAAGGGGAAGAAGTGCGTAAAATAGTGCTAGAGGAAAATGACCAGCTTTCAAAGATTTATTCCGTGCCCAAGTATGGCTGTGTGCCCAAGCGAATATGGGCCCGATGTGCTCCTGAAAACTACACACACGGCTACAAATCCTTGAACGACATTTATATGAATGTTTGTGCGGGAAAATGGAGGAAAGCGTGGGAGAATAAGAGATTGGGAAACACATGAGAACTCGTCTCTCTCGCTTGAGGTCAGTTCTCTACTCGCCACCGGGCCACGCCCTCCTCCTACCCACCGAAATGGAAGTATAATGAGGGGAGGAGCGAGAGAGTTTTTTCAGGGGGGGGGGTTAATCGAGCTGCTGTTTTGAGCAACATTTCTATGGTTTTTGACTTCAATAGAATTATTCTCAAAGAAAATAGATGAATTTTACGAGGCGTTTTATTATACTCTTTTTTTAAAGAAATTTTGCATTTGATACTTCCACGAGTACTTTCATCCCTGGAGACATAAAGAACTTTGATAAAGAAACATGGCTAAGTATCAGTGGTCATTTGAGGAATATTTCCCGAGAGGGGGGGGGGGGGGGAGAGCGATAATTCGAATAAAAAGAAGTGGTGTTGAGTCACTGGAGAATTTGCGAAGCCTTTCAAATTTCCGAGCTAAGACTCATTGACCTAGAATAGCAAGAAATTTCACAAAAGTTTTTGTTTGAAATTCAAATTCAAATTTTTCAAAATTGGAAATTTACCAACAAAAGCAAGCATCCGCAATTTTGTAATACACATGGAATTTATCAAAAAAAAGCAATTTATAATCCAGTACATGTTTTTCAAACACATTTCAACTTGCAGCTGAGTCGCTACAATCATTATCGAGTATTTATGTATAATTATTAAAATTGTTCTCTTGGAAAAGCAGAGCTACCAAGGTAAAGGCGATTAGAATGGAAGTTCTAGCAGGATTACGACTGACAAATTTCCATATTAAGAAGAGGAATTTTTCTAAACCTCGTAAATTATGATGCAAGCTACTGATGAAAAGAGTATGGGTTCAGCTTCGTTTTTTCTTACATCACAAGAAAAAAGTGTTGCTTCCTCTTTGAGCCCAAACTGCAGACAAGAAACCAAATGCCAGAAAAACATTCGTATTTTCTTCATGGAAATCTGTGAATGTGGCGACAACTAATTGGAAACTCCAAGAAAATCTTCCTGCTGTTTTTCAATGAGAGTCAGCCTTATTAGCAACACTGACTACTGAGAAACTTTCTATAAAGAAAAGAAAAACATCCATAGTGGCAAAAGAAGAACCTGCGCATATTTCACTTCTCTTTTTCTCATAGGGGAGGAATTTCTGACGTCAGGCTCTCATTCATGTATATGTCAATGCTATAGGGCGTAACAAAAGTTATTCTTCTCCGTTTGGTCAATTTTCACATTTTAGCGGTTATAAGTCTGATTGAGGAGTTAAGAATCAATTGAAAGCTATTTTTATTCTTATAAAATTCATTTCATTGAGCTTAATAGTGAAAATGCAAAAGTCATCTAAGCTTATTCCTCGGGGAGGAATAATTCTTGCTCGAGCAGCTAGCTATTCAAAGTGGAATTTGGTGGAAGTTCTTCGAAAACGCATACATAAATTTTCATTGTTTGGTTTTTTTAAAGATGTTTTCGTTTGAAATTTGACTGATTCTAAATAAAAGTTTCTGAATTATTGTGGTGAATTGTGGAGATTGAGGACTGCTAATGGGTTGTAAAAATGAAAAAAAAGTTATTTTATGAAGTAAAAATTCACTGCCATAGCGAAAAAATTTGTTCAGAAAATTGGTGGATTACGACAAAATTTTTGTTGAGAAATTTTCGAAAATATGGAATAATGAAATTTTTCAACTTCCAAAGCTACGAAGTGACAGAGAAATTCCAGTTCTTCGGAACTTTTCCAAATTATGACGGAATAATGGAATTCTACAGGGATTTTCTGAATTATAACAGAATAACGAAATTTTTTCAGAAATTTTTCGCAAATTATGACAGAATAATAATTCTCTTTACAATTTTCCAAATTTTGACAGAATAACAATTTTTCCAGAAATCCTT